CAGTTTTTTTTTTTTAAAACTAGCCGTTGACAACGGCTTAAATTGCAAAAATAGTCGTTGCCAACGGTCCAAACAGCCCTACCCCCCGCCCCGACCGGAACTCTCCCTACCCACCTTAACTTATANTTTGGCCCTATTTTCTACTATAAATACCCCCCATTCTTCTTCATTTTTTCCCACAAAAAATCAATCTTCTCTCTCAAATCTCTTACATTCTAATATTCTATCTATATTATTTTTTCAATTTTTTTACTATCAAGTATCAAGTGATAACTTTCAAGTATTTGCACAAATTTTTTGGAGCAACTTTCAAGCTTCAAATTAATTCATCAAGTATTTGGAGCAATATTTTGGGCAATTTCTTCAAGTTTCCCAAACTTTAATCACGGTGCACTCGTTCCATCTCCTAATTTTAATATATAATTTTTGCGTATCATTTTAGTGCTTAATTGTTGTGTTTACTTTACGTGTTATACTTTCGTATTTCATTTGTGTGTTTAATTTTTGTGTTAGCTTTTTTAATTTAATTTCGTATTTAAATTATGGCACCTAAAAATGTATTTGGCATTTTTAAAAAAAGTAGTAAAAAAACTAGTAAAGGTGAAAGTAGTAGTAATCCTAATCCTAACCCTTCTCCTAGACCTAGAATTAGAAAAGATATTGATGAAATGACTCATGTTGATGAAACTTCATTTTCCCAACCCCCCACATTTTATAATGTTCATGTCGGCGAATAATTAGATCATGAAACTTTACAAAGACAATTTGGCAATGATATTTTAATGAGGACGAAGAAAATGAGGAAGAAGAATTAGATAAAACACCCACTAGCCCCGCAACACAAGCTCCAACTCAGAGTCAATCTCAGTCTGGAGCTTTACCCCCTGTACCCCTTATAAGGGGTAAGCCTAATGTCACGACCCATTTTCCATAATAGGCCATGATGGCGCCTAACACCGTTGTCAGGCCAGCCGATGCGGAATGAAATTAAGTTCTCATTTTTACTTTAGCCAAAGACAGTCATACTAGATTTTCGAATTTAAAGATAAGACCAGTAAAGATCATAAAGTGCTAAGATAGCAATACAACCCCAAAATAAATGTCTACTACTGTGTGTGCCAGAACCTGGTGTCCCAAGCTACGGGCGACTAGTAGAATATACAAAAAAGAATAATACACTATCCTGCTGTCTGAATCAGGGTAGACAGAAACAAAAAAAGTACAAGAAAGGACTTCTTCGGCTGCGGATCGGCATGAAAGAGAAGCAGCTCACCGTAGAAGTCCCCAAGCGTGCTCACTGATGCGCACCAGGATGATGTCCAGATCCACCTGCCTCAAATCCTGTACATTTAAGTACAGAAGCGTAGTTTGAGTACATAAACCACATGTACTCAGTAAGTATCCCGTCTAATCTCGAAGAAGTAGAGACGAGAGGTCGACTTGATACTTACTAAGGTCAAGATAAAATAATAATAAAGTGAGATATACAGCATGAAGAATTTCTAATAACACAAGTTTAAGAGGAGAGTCATATTCATGTTCTTGACATAATTAAACTACCAGTTTTCCCTTTTTCATATTAAACAAGCGATCATGTCATATCTAAATGTAAGCATACAAATCATGCACAATCATGCCGAGCTCGACGGCCCGCTCCAACAGAAAATAAATTGTGCACTGCCGAGGGTCGAGCGGCACGAACCATAGATGCATCTATTCTCACCGAGGCGATCGGCCCGGTCCATAATTATCAGGAAAATATCAGGAAAGCACATAAGGCTCAATTACATACAAGGGAATTCCTACCAAGCCTCAACAAGCTCATAAGTTCACTTTTCATTTCCTCAAGTCTCTAGCAAATCATAAATGATCATATTGGCAATTTAAAACAAGATATATTCCCCAATCAGACATGACGTGGGTCCTAAACTACCCGAACAATTATCATTATAGTAGCTACGCACGGACTCTCGTCACCTAGTACGTACGTAGCCCCCGCATTTAACAACAATTACTCATTTATAATCCTATGGGGACAATTTCCTCTTACAAGGTTAGAAAGGAGACTCACCTCGCTCCAAAGTGCACTTCCAATGTCCAAGAACGAGCCCAAGTCCTTAACTCGAAGCCGGACAATCCCAAACTAATCAAACGAAGTAAGAACTAGTAAATAAAGGCTTACAAGGTTGAATTCTAGCTATTTAAGCAATTTCCTAACCATTAACACAAGTTTCCTAAATTCCGACCCCGGGCCCACGTGCCCGGATTCCGAGATTTTTCGAAGGAAGTTGTTCTCTATCACCTAAGGATCACAAATATATGATTTCTAGTTCACTACATGGCAAATTATGTGATAAAACCTTAGTTTTCATTAAACCCTAGGTCTAGCTCAATCCCTTGATTTTACCTAATTTTTAGTGTTAAATCTACCTAATGTTTATGTATTTGAACTAAAAATGAGTGGGGATTACTACCTTGCAATGTTATGTTGAAACCTCCTCTTTGGAATCACCAAAATCGCCTAAGTGTTAAGAGTAATGTGGAAGAAATGAGTTTGGGTTCATATTAATGAACCCTTCTTCCCCCAATTATTTTCGCATCTGCGGATGTATTTCCGCTTCTGCGGAATCCGCTTCTGCGGAATATGGCCACTTCCGCGGCTTTTGGGATTTGGGGCTCGACCGCTTCTGCGGTNATCGGTCGTTACATTCTCCACCTTTTAAACAAACGTTCGTCCTAGAACGGACATAGAAAAGTACCTGGACTGCTGAATAAGTGGGGATATCGGCTCCGCATGTCCTCCTCGGACTCCCAGGTCGCCTCCTCGACCGGTTGGCCCCTCCACTGGACTCTTACCGCAGAAATCCTCTTGGACCTCAACTGGAGATCCTGTCTATCAACAATGGCAACTGGCTCCTCCTCGTAGCCTAAGCTCTCATCTAACTGAATGGTACTGAAATCCAACACGTGTGAATGGTCGGCATGATACTTCCGAAGCATCGATACATGGAAGACTGGATGAACTCCTGATAAACTGGGAGGTAAAGCAAGCTCATAGGCAACCTCTCCAACTCGCCTCAACACCTCAAAGGGGCCAATAAACCTTGGGCTTAGCTTGCCCTTCTTCCCAAACCTCATAATGCCCTTCATTGGCGAGACTTTCAAGAGAACCTTCTCGCCAATCGTGAATGATACATCACGTGCCTTCTGATCCGCGTAACTCTTCTGCCTGGACTGAGTTGTGCAGAGCCTCTCCTGAATCAACTTTACCTTATCCAAGGCATCCTGTACCAAATCTGTGCCAAGTAACTTAGCCTCACCGGGCTCAAACCACCCAATAAGAGAACGACAACGCCGACCATACAATGCCTCATACGGGGCCATCTCTATGCTGGACTGATAGCTATTATTGTATGCAAACTCCGCCAAGGGCAAGAACTGATCCCACTGCCCTCCGAAGTCGATCGCACATGCTCTAAGCATATCCTCTAAAATCTGAACAGTCCGCTCCGACTGCCCGTCGGTCTGAGGATGGAATGCCGTGCTGAGCTCTACGCGAGTCCCCAACTCACTCTGAACAGCTCTCCAGAAATGGGAAGTGAACTGAGGGCCTCTGTCCGATATGATGGAAACCGGCACACCGTGCAACCTGACTATCTCCCGAATGTAAATCTGAGAATATCTCTCCGCCGTATAGGTAGTCGCCACCGGAATGAAGTGGGCCGACTTGGTCAACCTATCCACAATAACCCACACTGAATCAACCTTCCGCTGAGTCCGCGGCAACCCAACCACGAAATCCATGGTAATGCGCTCCCACTTCCGTTCCGGAATGGGCATCTGCTGAAGTAGGCCACTGGCCTCTGGTGCTCATATTTGACCTGCTAGCAATTCAAACATCTAGCAACATACTTCACTATGTCCTTCTTCATCCTCCGCCACCAGTAGTGCTTTCTCAAGTCACGATACATCTTCGTGGCACCCGGATGAATGGAATACCTCGAACTGTGGGCCTCCTCTAGAATCCTCTCTCTCAAACCATCAACATTAGGAACACATACACGACCCTGTAGCCGTAACACACCATCCTCGCCAATAGAGATCTCCTTAGCACCTCCCTGAAGTACCGTCTCTCTGAGGACCGCCAAATGTGGATCATCAAACTGTGGGGCCTTAATCTGCCCCAATAACGAAGACTGAGCAACCACACATGCTAGAACTCGGCTGGGCTCCGAAATGTCCAACCTCACAAGTCTGTTAGCTAAAGACTGGATGTCCAAAGCTAATGGTCTCATCTCGGCAGGAATGAACGCCAAGCTACCCATACTCTCCGCCTTTTTGCTCAAGGCATCCGTGACCACATTGGCCTTACCTGGATGATAAAGGATGGTAATGTCATAATCCTTTAGTAACTCAAGCCACCTGCGCTGCCTCAAATTAAGATCTCTCTGCTTGAACAAATGCTGCAAGCTGCGATAGTCGGTGTAAACCTCACATGACACACCATACAAATAATGCCTCCATATCTTGAGAGCATGGACAATCGCCGCCAACTCTAGATCGTGCACAAGGTAATTCTTCTCATGAACCTTCAGCTGACGTGAAGCATATGCAATAACTCGCCCCTCCTGCATCAATACACATCCCAAGCCAACGCGAGAAGCGTCGCAATACACTGTATACATCCCTGAACCGGAAGGCAATACAAGAACTGGTGCCGTAGTCAAAGCCGTCTTGAGCTTCTGGAAGCTCTCCTCACAATTATCGGACCAACAGAACGGGGCACCCTTTTGGGTCAATCTGGTCAGAGGTGATGCAATAGATGAAAAGCCCTGCACAAATCGCCGGTAATAACCTGCTAACCCCAAGAAACTCCTGATCTCGGTCACTGAAGTAGGACGTGGCCAACTCTGAACTGCCTCAATCTTCTTGGGATCCACCTTAATACCCTCCCCTGACATTACATGCCCCAAGAATGCTACTGACTCCAGCCAAAACTCACACTTAGAGAACTTAGCATAAAGCTGCTGCTCTCGCAAGGTCTGAAGCACTACTCTCAAATGCTGCTCGTGCTCCCCCAGGCTACGTGAGTATATCAGGATGTCGTCAATGAAGACGATGACAAAAGAATCAATATAAGGCCTGAACACCCTATTCATCAGATCCATAAATACCGCTGGAGCATTAGTCAAGCCAAATGACATCACCAGGAACTCATAGTGGCCATATCTAGTCCTGAATGCGGTCTTCGGGACATCTGAATCCCGAATCTTCAACTGATGATACCCTGACCTCAGGTCGATCTTAGAGAACACCCTAGCACCCTGCAGCTGGTCAAACAAATCATCAATACGGGATAATGGATACTTGTTTTTTATGGTGACTTTGTTCAACTGGCGGTAATCAATGCACATCCGCATAGTCCCATCCTTCTTCTTTACAAATAGCACTGGTGCACCCCAAGGCGATACACTGGGCCTAACAAACCCCTTTGCTAGCAACTCCTCCAACTGCTCCTTCAGCTCCTTCATCTCCCTAGGAGCCATACGGTACAGCAGGATAGATATAGGCTGAGTGCCTGGAGCCAAATCAATACAGAAATCAATATCACGATCCGGAGGCATGCCAGGAAGATCAGAAGGAAAAACATCGGCGAACTCTCGGACTACTGGCACTGAATCAATCGTCGGAGACTCTGCGGTGGTGTCTCGAACATAAGCTAAGTAGGCCAAACATCCCTTCTCAACCATGTGTTGAGCCTTCAGGAAGGAAATGACCCTGCTAGGTGTATCCACAGTGGAACCCCTCCACTCCAATCTCGACAACCCTGGCATCGCTAGAGAAACAGTCTTGGCATGGCAATCTAGAACGGCGTGGTATGGAGATAACCAATCCATGCCCAGAATAACCTCAAAATAGACCATATCGAGCAACAGGAGATCTGATCTAGTCTCAAGACCACAGAAAGTAACCACGCAAGATCGGTAGACCCGGTTCACAACCACAGAATCGCCCACAGGAGTGGACACATGAACAGGAACACCCAAAGGCTCAGGAGAAATAGCCAGGAAACGAGCAAACAAAGATGATACATATGAATAAGTAGACCCTGGATGAAATAATACCGATGCATCACCTGTGATGACGGCATCTGAGGCCAATGCATCTGGCTTGGCTGTGAGAGCATAGAATCTAGCTGGAGCACCGCCTGTCTGGCCTCCAACTGACTGAGTAGCAGCTGTCTGACCTCTCCCTGTCTGGCCTCTACCCCTGGAACGACCTCTACCAATCTGCTCTCCACCTCTAGGCGGTTGGACCGCTGGTGCTGGAGTCATGGGCTGCTGCCCCTGCTGTACTGCCTTGCCCCTAAGCCTGGGGCAGTATCTCCTCATGTGGCCTGCGTCCCCGCACTCAAAACAATGTGGCGCGGAGCACTGCTGTCCGGATGGCTGACCCTGAATACCAGAAGGCCCACTAGAAGAAACCTGAGTAGCCGGCGGGCGGTAAGAACTCTCCGGCATAGCACTGAAATAAGGACCGGAAGACTCCGGAGGACCTAAATACCTATTGGACGAACCCTGAATAGCTGGCGAGTGATAAGAACTCTCTGGCATGGCGCTGAAATAGGAGCGCGCTGGAGCACCTCGAGCCGGTGGTGGTGCTGGAGCTAGGGGCCTGCTGGGCTGACCCCTCCCAAAGTGACCTCTGCCCCTGGCTGGGGCACCTCTGAAATCTCCTAAGAATCTGGCCCTCTTATCCTGCTGCATCTGCTCTCTACCCCTCAAACGGTAGCCCTCAATCCGGCGGGCAATCTCAAGTACTAGCTGATATCCAGTGCCCATCTCTACCTCACGAGCCATACCCGACCGGATAGTGGGATGTAACCCCGCAACAAATCTCCGTACTCTCTCTGCCTCTGTGGGAAGTATCATGAGTGCATGGCGAGACAACTCAGAGAACCTCGCCTCATAGTCGGTCACTGACATATGACCCTGCTCCAGATACTCAAACTGATGACGCAGCTCTTCCCTCTCAGAGGGTGGAATGTACCAATCAAGGAACAACTGAGTGAACTGACCCCAAGTGAGGGGAGGAGCGCCTGCTGGCCTGCTAAGTAAATAAGACTGCCACCATCTACGGGCCCTGCCCTCCAGCTGAAAAGGAGTGAAGTCGACTATGTGACTCCAAGATCCTCATGTTGTGCAGTTTGTCCCTGCACCTGTCAATGAAATCCTGGGCATCCTCATGACGCTCGCCCCCGAAGACCAGAGGGTGCAACCTGGTCCATCTGTCTAATAACTTCTGTGGATCTCCGTCCACAGCTGGCCTGGGCTGGGGTGCCGCTGCAGCAACTGGCTGGACCCCCTCTGCGGGTAGTGCACCCGGAGTATGATAAACTGCGGCTGCATGACCTGGAGCCTGTGCGGTAGGGGTCTGTGCTCCCCCTCCTGCCTGTGAGGTAGCTGGATCTGCTGGAAATAAACCAGCCTGAGTCATAGTGTCCATGAACCGAAGCATACGGCCCATGACCTCCTGCAATCCCGGCGCAGTCATGAAATCCACCAGAGCAGGCACAGCTGGGGGCGCCTCGCCCTGCTCCTCAATAATGGGATCCCTCGCAGGGTCTGCTGGTGGTGCATCTGAATAGCTCTGGGACTCCCTCGTCCCCTACCACGGGCCGGTGCCCTCCCCCGGCCTCTACCTCGGCCTCTAGCAACGGGGGGAGCAGCTCCTCCCGGGTCCGGAACGTCGGCGGCACGAGTCCTCTCCATCTATTAGAGAATAGAAGAGGAAACATAGTACACTGACCACTGCACAATGGAGAATAAATAAAGAGTAGTCTTTCCTAACACCCTATAGCCCCTCGAAGATAAATACAGACGTCTCCGTACCAATCTACAAGACTCTATCAGGTTTGCCCGTAACTTGTGAGACCTACGTGAACCAAGTGCTCTGATACCATGTTGTCACGACCCATTTCCATAATAGGTCATGATGGCGCCTAACACCGCTGTCAGGCCAGCCGATGCGGAATGTGATTAAGTTCTCATTTTCACTTTAGCCAAAGACAGTCATACTAGATTTTCGAATTTAAAGATAAGACCAGTAAAGATCATAAAGTGCTAAGATAGCAATACAACCCCAAAATAAATGTCTACTACTGTGTGTGCCAGAACCTGGTGTCACAAGCTACGGGCGACTAGTAGAATATACACAAAAGAATAATACACTATCCTGCTGTCTGAATCAGGGTAGACAGAAACAAAAAAAGTACAAGAAAGGACTTCTTCGGCTGCGGATCGGCATGAAAGAGAAGCAGCTCACCGTAGAAGTCCCCAAGCGTGCTCACTGATGCGCACCAGGATGATGTCCAGATCCACCTGCCTCAAATCCTGTACATTTAAGTACAGAAGGGTAGTATGAGTACATAAACCACATGTACTCAGTAAGTATCCCGTCTAATCTCGAAGAAGTAGAGACGAGAGGTCGACTTAATACTTACTAAGGTCAAGATAAAATAATAATAAAGTGAGATATACAGCATGAAGAATTTCTAATAACACAAGTTTAAGAGGAGAGTCATATTCATGTTCTTGACATAATTAAACTACCAGTTTTCCCCTTTTCATATTAAACAAGCGATCATGTCATATCAAAATGTAAGCATATAAATCATGCACAATCATGCCGAGGTCGACGGCCCCGCTCCAACAGAAAATAAATTGTGCACTGCCGAGGGTCGAGCGGCACGAACCATAGATGCATCTATTCTCACCGAGGCGATCGGCCCGGTCCATAATCATCAGGAAAATATCAGGAAAGCACATAAGGCTCAATTACATCCAAGGGAATTCTTACCAAGCCTCAACAAGCTCATAAGTTCACTTTTCATTTCCTCAAGTCTCTAGCAAATCATAAATGATCATATTGGCAATTTAAAACAAGAAATATTCCCCAATTAGACATGACATGGGTCCTAAACTACCCGAACAATTATCATTATAGTAGCTACGCACGGACTCTCGTCACCTAGTACGTACGTAGCCACCGCATTTAAAAACAATTACTCATTTATAATCCTATGGGGACAATTCCCTCTTCCAAGGTTAGAAAGGAGACTCACCTCGCTCCAAAGTGCACTTCCAATGTCCAAGAACGAGCCCAAGTCCTTAACTCGAAGCCGGACAATCCCAAACTAATCAAACGAAGTAAAAACTAGTAAATAAAGGCTTACAAGGTTGAATTCTAGCTATTTAAGCAATTTCCTAACCTTTAACACAAGTTTCCTAAATTCCGACCCCGGGCCCACGTGCCCGGATTCCGAGATTTTTCGAAGGAAGTTGTTCTCTATCACCTAAGGATCACAAATATATGATTTCTAGTTCACTACATGGCAAATTATGTGATAAAACCTTAGTTTTCATTAAACCCTAGGTCTAGCTCAATCCCTTGATTTTACCTAATTTTTAGTGTTAAATCTACCTAATGTTTATGTATTTGAACTAAAAATGAGTGGGGATTACTTACCTTGCAATGTTATGTTGAAACCTCCTCTTTGGAATCACCAAAATCGCCTAAGTGTTAAGAGTAATGTGGAAGAAATGAGTTTGGGTTCGTATTAATGAACCCTTCTGCCCCCAGTTATTTTCGCATCTGCGGATGTATTTCCGCTTCTGCGAAATTTGGCCGCTTCCGCGGCTTTTGGGATTTGGGGCTCGACCGCTTCTGCGGTCTGGGGGCCGCATAGGCGGAACCGCTTCTGCGGTCCCTGGGCCGCTTTTGAGGTTTCCCTTGGCCTGCCCCTTCTCCGCTTCTGCGAACTAATGACCACATCTGCGCTCCAAGAACCGCAGATGCGGTTATGACAGAAGCATCAAGCTTCAATCATTCTCCAAATTCTAACTTCACTCGAGCCTCGCTCGTTTGACGCTCGGGGCACCCGAACATACTGACAAGTCTGAAATCACGAGGCAGACCTACTCAAACCCTCGAAACACTCAAAACAACGCTAAATTGAGGAATCAACCCCAAAACCAAATGAATCAAATCGTTGAACTTCAAGTTCTTAATTCCCCTCCTACGGGTCAAAATGCCCTTAAACTACTCGGATTGACACCAAATTTTACGGATAAGTCTTAACTGATATTTCGGACTTGTACCATGTTTCGGAATCGAAATCCAAACCCGATACCTAGGAAAACAATGATTTCTTAGTTTATTTAAACCTTTGAAACTTTAACTTAACAATTTCACATAAAAATTCATTACTCGGGCTAGGGACCTCGGAATTTGATTCCGGGCATACGCCCAGATGCCATATTTTCCCACGGACCCTCAGGAATTGTCAAATCACAATTCCAGGTCCGTTTCCCCAAAATGTTGACCGAAGTCAAACTTGGCCTTTTTAAAGAACCTTAAAGAAGCAACTAGACTTATTGTTGCTCAAAACTCTTCTAAATTCCGAACCACCCGTCCCCGCAAGTCATAAATTAGCTAAAGCAAGTGCGGGAAGTCTTATTTAAGGGAACGGGGTTCAAAAATACAAAACGACCGGTCGGATCGTTACACCTAAGGTTGAACGTCCCAAAACATCACTTGTAAACCTGATAAAGTCAATCATCATGCTATCTGTGAAAAATGTAAGCAACAATTTGCACACACAATAAGTGGTGGGACGGGGGGTTTAACTAGACACTTAAGAAATGTTCACAAATCCTTATGGATACAAGCTAACATAGAAGCCGGAAAAATTATAGATCCTACCATCAGTACTGGCACTCCTAGTGGATCTGGTTCAAATCAAATTCAACAACAACTTGAACCTGCTTCTGGTCATGTTTTACGCCCCTATTACAAAGATAGAGATCGTGAGAACTTAGCAAAAATTGTGGCTGTCTGTGGCTTACCTTTTACTTTTCCTTCTCACCCATCTTTTGTGCATTATATACAAGAAACTTATAACCCTGCTTTTCAAGGTTTTCCTAAGACCACGGTTAGAAATGATGTTTTTAAATTTCAAAGCGAATATCTTCAGTATATTGGTTGTGTATTTTTTCACTTAGATTGTAAAGTGTCTATCACATCTGATATAGGTCGTAGTCCTAATGGTTGTGATTATTTAAATGTTACATGTCATTGGGTCGATCATCACTGGAACTTGCAAAAACGTATTATTGGTTATAAATTTGTTGATTCAAAACACACTGGAGCATATATTGCAACTACTGTTTTACTAATACTTGATTTTTGTGGACTCATTAATAAAGTTTTAACTATCAATTTAGATAATGCTTCTGCTAACACAACCGCAGCAAATAGCTTAAAATCTAGACTTTGTCCAATTAATCCAACAATTTTTCATGTTAGATGTGCATGCCGTATTTTTAACTTGGTTGTAAAAGATGATCTTTATTTATTTTCTAATGCTTGTAGTAAAATACAACATGCTTGTGGCCATATTTTTCGTGCTCATAAACAAAGTAGAATTCATGAATTTGCTCAACAATGTGCTAGTGCTAAC